AAAGAGCAGATTGTATCTACTTTATACTACTTGAAAAATTCAAGGTCCTGAGAGGCTAGGCAAAGTCAGCTTCAAGCCGGTACTGATGTAATGTTAGGGGCACCTATTGTTTCTTTTCCCTAAGAGCTCATTTTCATCCTGAGAAACCATTCCCATTCCTCTTGCCCTTTATCCCATTTTGTTCTGGAACACATCATATAAAGGTCAAAGGGGAACTCTGGAGTCAGATGATCTGGCCCAGCTCTCTCAATGCTTTCTGCTGGCTGCGTAATTTTGAGATTTTTAACCTTGTGCCTTAGTTTCTTCATCTATGAAATGGTTGATAAAAAATGTTCGCCACTGGATTCTGAAAAGTATTAAATCCATAAATACAAACAAAATGCTTATGGCATGGTGTGATAAAATGCAAATGTTCAACAAGTGTAAATTAGTCTTGCTCTGCCTATCTCCCAGCTACAGAGCAAGTATCCTAAATTCTAGGACAAGGTCATTAGATTTTTCTTATAAAGAGCAAATGTCAATATTTTAGGCTTTGTGGTTATGCCATCTCCTGCACCCACTGCTGGCTCTGTTAGATTTTTGGTATCTATGATTCAGTTCTGATACCACGACATAACTTATTTTCTTCATGCTGTCCACAATTATTAAGAAAAATTGAAGGCTGGCATGTACTTGGTATTTGTCATGTGCCAGGCAATTTAGTACGTACTTTGCTGTGTGATCTCTCACTCTAAAGTTGGCAGTATTATCATAATTTGACTAAGAACACAGGCATCTTTGATGCCAGCTGATTTCCTTCTTAGATGCCATGTTAGCCTTTTTAAGGATGCAGAATGGACTTTTTAGGTCCCATTTCATGTCTTCCTCAGTCTCCAAGGAAGAATGCTGGAAGAGCAAACTTCCTCAAGGCACACTTAATCCCTCTTCTGGGAAAAAGGGCATGTCCTGATCAGGAATCCTCGCTGTTCCTTTTGGCCCTTTTGGGCAGTGGGGAGTGGCGGCCGTCTTGGAGGTTTTGCCCAGCTGCCCAGAAGAGAGTGGACGAGCAGCTGAGGCTGCCGATAAACAGCCTGAGTTAATCCAGGCTGCAGCTTGTAGTTCTCTTGCAAGACCCATCAAGGACTTTCCTCCCGCGGTATCACTTCACAGTGGCTGGCTGACTTGTGTTTACCAACTGCCCGACTCCTGGATGTGCAGCATACTTCAGCAGGTAGAATGAAGCTACTCTGAGCAGACACATCTTGAGCTCTGAGGCTAGCACAGGAAGGCTTGCATAAACAGGGTTTCTGTGAAGGAGGATGAGAAAGAAGTCGGAGGAAATAATTAATCCCCATATCCATTAACAGTCCTCGTCTTGAACACCAGTTCTTTGAGTTTTGGATAGAAATCAAAGAGCTGCCAAAGGAATACTTCGTGTTGGACAACTTCTGTGTCTTGTTCCATTTCTTACTAAAGTAGCTGTCATAGTTTATGTTAGGCACTTAACCTACATTATTTTTAATTATCTCAGCAGTTCTGATGAGTAGATATAAAATGTCACTAACTAAAAGGATGAACAGAGGTTAAAACTTAGTGAGGACTGGGAGGGAACTTGGCCTCTGTTTATACCACAGTTGAGGGGAGGCTTTATAGCTCTCAGTTCTCAGAACAGGTCCAGACAGCGGAAGTAGAAATGGACCTTAGAGTTAGTTGCACTTCTTCTTAAGTTCTCAGACATTTTGAAGGGAGAGACTTTCGTTACTCTGTGTTTGGTTGAGGCACTATCAGCACTTGACTAATACCTGGCCCGAAGCAGGGGAGCCACACGTTTGTGTGGGATGTATGAATCAGCCACTCCACGTGTCCGCTTCCAACAAAACAGCAACACTGACTGGATGAGATTAAGGTCTTAGTTAAGTTCTTTCTGGAAATCTCACTGCTTTTATGATGAATTTTTATTTATCGCATGTTTTTAGTGTGTCTGTGTCTGTGTGTAGCAATGTCACAGGAGTGAAGCAGGGACCAGCAGAGGCCAGAAGAGGGTGTTGGACCACGTGGAGGTGGTGTCACTAGTGAGTCACCGTAGGTGGCTGTTGGGAACCGAACTCGGCAAGAGCAGTGCATGCTTTAACCACTGAGCTGCCTCTTTAGCCCCACCCTCCCTTCTAGTGTGAGTGAGTAGAAGGTTGCCCAGTTTACAGGGTACTAGCAAGGAGCTGACTTAATGCAATACTAGGGTCCGCAAGAGTTAATGTCCTCCGGAAGTTACTCTCACAGGACTTCCCTTCACTCAGCTTTTGTATGTGTGAGAGAGAATAGGTGCACATGTGTGCTCATGTGTGTAGAGACCAGAGGTCAACCTCCACTTTTTTTTGTTTGTTTGTTTTTCTCAGAAGCCTTCTACTTGGGCTGAGACAAAGTCTCTCACTCAGCCTGGAACTAGCTTCTCTTCAGCGATGGACTCCAGGGACGTGCCAACATGCCCTGCCTTTTTACCTGGATGTTAGGGATTGAACTCAGGCCCTCACGCTTGCATGGCAAGCTTTTTACTGACTCAGCTACCACAGTGTGTTAAAAAAAATTTTTTAATTTAGATAGTTTTTTGTTTGTTTGTTTTTAGACGAGGTCTCAATTGGTTACCTGTGTCGCCCAGATTAGACCTAATTCCTGATTTTCCCTGCCTTAGCCTCCCAAGTAGCTGAGGGTATAGGCATGGGTCACCTTGTCAAGGCCTAGACTTCTGGAGGACAGCCTCAGACAGAGGAAAGAATCCGGTTCCATGGATTTCCTTTAGGCTTTTTTTGTAATGAACTAGACAGTTACCAAGTTTTGTCTGCTGAGAAAGGTAAGCAGAGACCCCTAGAGTGCAGGCCTTTGGAAAGGGGGGTAGAAGGCAAAGGGGGGAATTGTGGGCGGCGGCGGGTTGGGGGTGAGGCAGAGCCGGACCGTTGCCTAGTCCTTGCTCCACGGGCAGAACCCCAGCCCAGTTCCCTTTTGCTTGCTCTGTGGGGCAAGGCTGCATTAGCAAGCTATAAATTCCACCAGTGTAAGTATGAGGAATGTGGAGATGAATGTGAGGAAGTCTGTATTCCAGAGGAAAGGGCATGAGAGTGGGCCAGCTGGAGACGGAAGACAGAACAGCTCCCAAGTGTGAGCCAGCAGAGATTGGAAAGGAGAATCTGGGCTCAGCCTGCATCTGGATTTTAAGAACTGGTTGTAAGTGATAGGGCTGTCAAGTAGCTGGAAATAAGTCTGTAGAGACCTGAGGTGACATGAGATTGATTTGTGAAGAAAAATTAGTAGTGTGTTCATCTGATCATTTGAGACAACCTGTCCGTCTGGCAAGGAGAAGCATTTGTGCAGGGAATTAAACTCGCAGAAAGACCGAAAGTAGCAGCGGGCCCTGCAAAGATGATGAGCAGACAGTCAAGTATCCAGAGACACCCATCTGGGTTTGCCATCAAAGACAACTGGGTCGAGATAGGGAGCGTAAGCAATTGGCCCAATGTCCTGAGAATTGTGGGTGATGGCCTGTCTTCAGACCTGTGGTTACTACTGTGGAACTCACAGTAAAGGATCGTTTCTCATCAGGAAATGAGACTTAGAAATGAAAACTGTTGAAGACTGTTTAGAAGATGTGTGTTAGCTGAATGCTTGCTGGAACCCACAGAAGGTCTCTGGGTTCTTGGAAAGTTAACAGAATGACCTCTTTTCTTCCTCATAATTTGGCTAAATATAAACAGAGACTTATTTATAAAGGGAAAAAGAATTTAAGGACAAAGACCCTCCTGAGGCTTGCTTTGAGTGGAAAGATTTAAAAACTACGCTATCTAGGGAGTTGAAGAGAAGGCTCGGCAGTTCAGAGCACTTGCTACTCTTGCAGAAGTCTTGCATCTGGTTCTCAGGACCCACATGACAGCTTAACTTTAATTCCAGTTCCAGGGTAGCCAGTCTCCTCTTCTGGCCTCCATAGGGGCACCAGGCATGCATGTGGTATTTTTACATACATGTAGGCACTCACCCATACACATAAAATAATAGTAATTTTAAAATGAACAAAATTGCTTTCTTAGCTTCACCCAGTCATAGAGTACATGGGTAAGAGAGCACATGTATGCATATTTCATTACTGCTTCCAAAGTGGGGACAGGTCAACATTTCCGTTAATTGGTAAGGCCAGGAAAGCCATTTATCTCTGTGTCTCATTTTCCTTACCTTAGAAATGGGGAAAATACTATCTTCTCTAGATTTCTCACAGAAGTTCTTAATCAAGTGAAATTTTTAAAATGATTTAATTGTTTTCTATGGTTAGCACTGAGAGATATGTGGGCATGTTTCCTGTGACCCTCGGGGCAAGGTAATGTTTCCTAAACATGGTGGTTGGAGACACCTTCAGTCAGGACTTCCCTGGAGGACCTCTAGAGAAGAGTGGTGGGGTGCCCTAGTGTTTCAGTTTTTTTCCCTTGACTAGCTTGTCATTTTACCAGCAAAGTTGGACAAAGGAACAGTTGTTAGGGTCTATCTCACTCTTTACCTCACAGTGCTCAGGACAGACTTGGCATCTGTCTCCTCATGCATCAGGAGCTATGTAGTGATGAGCATGGGGAAGTGTTTACACCTCTCACTGCAGTGGATGAACCCCTGGTCTGAAAGGAAGAGAGGAGGCGTGGTGAGCTCTGGATGTATGACCACACTCTATGCAAATGGAAACTCTGTGCAATTGAAGTTTAATGTGATACCACTGCATGCACCAGAATGGCTAAAGTTCTAAAGATGGAAAGTTGTAGAACAGCCTAGACTGTTCTTTGTGGCTGGGGAAGGCAGAGTGTGAGGTCCACCCACCATAGAGAACTGGCAGCATATACTCAAATTGGACACATGTGCCTTTTATATCAGGCCCTTTTACTCCAGTCCATCCACTAAAGGTGCACGCACATACTGTCCCTGGAAGAACCTTTCTTGAATGTCCTTAGGAGGCTGCACAGATGGCTAGTGGTTAAGAACACTTGTTGCTCTTTCAGAGGATCCAAGTCTGTTCCCAGAATGTTCCTAGCGGCACTGCATATTGGAGCCCAGCTGCGAACACCCAAGGAACCATCAACAGTAAGAGGAATAATCATGAATGATGTACAACTTACCAGACATTGCATGTATGAAGCATGCACATACAGTTTGACTGTTCAGAGTTAGAAAGCAGGCATGACCTATTTGTGTTGTTAAAAGCCTGCTGGTATTGGGAAATAGGGGTGGAAAGACTGAGATGAAGGGAACATGTGATGACTTTCTAGAGGTGCTGATTGCTTTATTTCTCGAGCTGGGAGTTGGTACAGGGCCTGTATAATGACTTACACATGCTGGGAAGCTGAACTTTCCTATAGCTGTTATACTTCAGTGAAAAAAAAATGTGAAGCCAGGCATTGTAGCATACTCTTCCAGTATGCAAGAGACTGAGGCAGGAAGATGGAGAGTTTGAGACCATACAGCACTCACAGCTTGAGGGTAGCTTGGCTTACATAATAAGGTCTTGCTTCAAATGAACAACAATAGCAATAAAATGGAAACAGCTCAGATGTCCATTAATAGGTGGATGGACAAACTATGCTCCGTGATAAAAACAAATGAACTGTGGATGTGTTCAACAGGGTTGGAACCATCGCCGGAGAGATGACTCAGCCATTAAGAGCACTTGATCCAGTGACCAAGGACCTAAGTTGAGTTCCCAGCGCCCATGCTGGCCAGTTCACAATTGACTGAAACTCCAGCTTCAAAGGCTCCAACACCCTATTTGGCTCCTCAGACACCTGCATACACCTGCTACACACACACAGACACAGACACATAAATAAACATAAAACTAAAAACAGACAAACATAGATAGAAGTTAAGTATTTGGAGTGAAAGAGACCAGGAAAAAAAATTGATTTATTTTTCCTAAATGAAATGGGCTTGGGGACCTGAATTTAAACCCTAATTCTATCATTAATCACCTGTATATTCTAGGACATGTTTCTTGTCAATGCCTCAGTTTTCTGTTCTCTAAATGTTTATCAAAAGATTAATTGAGATTGAGTAATGTATGTCAAACATTTAGGTGACACATAAAATTTTGTAGACTATACAAGTTATGATTATGATTTTTTGTGACACACCTCTCTGTAGCCCACACTGGCCTCGAACTTACTATGTAGCTCAGGGCAGCTATTCTATCCTCATGCCTCAGGCTCCTGAATACTGAGTATTGAGATTCTGAGATTGGGAATTGGGATTGGGATTCTTCTTAAGTAAGAAACACATGCTAAGTGCTAATCTAGAATGTAACATGGTGCATGGTATGGTAAGTTCTGCTGCTGATTATTAATAATAAAAATTAACAAGATATGGAAAACTAACTACAGAGGGCCTCCTCTTGCCTCTGGAGAATAGTGTAACAAAACAGAAGTGAAGCCAGTCTATGCAGACCAGCCTGCACTTCGCTGGACTTGGATCTTTCCCGTCACCTGGGGAAGTCAGGATTGATTTATGCAGTGGAGACAGGGAGTGGGCGCGTTATAACCGTATTGGATGCGTAGGCAAAACAAGCCTTGGCCAGAATTCCTCACCACCAACTCTGGAGCAACTATAGCATCACCAGAATGATGTGCTGCCAGAAGCCTCAAAGTGAGGGTGGTGCCACTCTGCCAGTTCACCACAGGAGATTGTACCCAACCCGTGGCCAGGAGCCCACAGTGAACAAATTACAGGACAGAGAACTGGAAGTCCAGGCAGTCACAGGCCGAATGTTGAAGTCTCCCTCAGTGTTGGGCACTGCTGAGGAAACTAGCTACCCAGGGGTGTTCATCAGTAAACACTATGGTAGGGTAACAAAATGGCTATAAGGTTGCTAGAAAACTAATAAAATACCCTGATATTTGTTTTTCTAGCCCAAGGGTATAATGGTTCTTTCTTAATACTTTTCTACTCATTATATCTTTTTGGAGGCAGGTCTATTTTTGGATTTAATGAGTTCCTGAAAATTTATATGAAAAGTATAATATATAAAAGTGAAACAATAACCTTACCTATTACGTGAGGAATTTTATCCCCAAGAACTAAACAAATTATAAATTCTCCAGTACACAGTATACATTATGAATATTTTAATCCTAGGTTAAAAATAGCAACCCAAGTTCTATGTCATATATTTGATTATTTAAAATGCAGAAAACGTCAAGAGTAACAACAATAACCAACCAAGTTAGAGTCGGTGGGGATGGCTCAGTGGGTAAAGTGCTTGCTACGGAAATACATGGACCTGAATTTGAATCCCTAGCACCCACTGACAAAGCTGGGCCCAGGCCACACATGCCTGTAACCCAGAGTTAGCAAAGGGTGGGCGTTTGGTGTGTGCGGGGTGTAGACGTGGAAATAGGCTGGACAACCAATCGGACTGAAATGGCAAGCTCTGGGTTCAGTGAGAGACCCTATCTCAGAAAAAAAAAAAAATTAAAGACAAGAGCAGCAATGTAGATCCTTGAAGCCATCTTGCTTCTGCATGTTCTTGCACAGGCTAGCTATCTGCTTGTGAGTGTGCATGTATGGACACACACACACACACACACACACACACACACACACACACACACACCACTAAAATTACTCATCTATTGTGATTTATTATCTTAATTTCTGCTTGTTCTTGGTCAGCTTGAAGCACTATTATAAATTTAGCTGACCTAGATATCTGGATGAACACATGTACAAGTCCTAAGAGTACAAGGACAGGACAAAAGGGGACCTGAATCACACATTGTGACCGTAAGTCTCCAACCTTCTAGAGTAGCAAAGCCAGTCATGTGCCTGACTTCATCACCATTACCACCAAGTAGCTAGCAGCAACAGCAGCTCCTGGCTTTGAGTTAAAACCCCAGCAGAATAGTTCTTCAAGTATGTGACCCTCTGATGTAGAAGGGATAGTGATATCCAGATAGAAGACTGAGGCAAATGAATATAACAACTTCTAAAATGGACTCAGAAGAAGCAAAAAACACATCATCTTGGTTTAAAAATTGACTGAAGCCCTACCATAAAGTAAATAAGCCCTACCATAAAGTAAATAAAGAAAACCATCTTTATTCTTCAGTGAGGAGAGAGGAAGGAGGAAGGGCAAGGCAACTCCAGCTGCCTGTTGTCCTGTGCCCATGCTTTCTAAAGTTGCCTACCTTGGTCAAGTCCCCCATGCACTCATATGCACACCACAGCCTCTCTTTGTTTTAGGCCAGAGACCTTTAGGGAAAAGCAAGTCTGGACAGCTGCAAAGGGAGCCCGTGCCAGATAACGAAGCTTATAAAATAGATGGCTAGGTTCACCAGACATAAGACTGAGAAGGAGCAAGAAGAGACTGAGCAGGGGAAACAGAGCAGAGCCTGAAAAAATACTGACTTGTGAACGAGGTGGTATGTAAGGCCATCATACTCATAAAACAAAAATAGGACCAATCACAACCCAGGGCTGCCAAAGAAATATAATAGGAGCTACAGTTGACTAAAGACAGTTTTCTCCTCTTGTTTGCTTTGCAAACAATAGTGGTAAGATGCAATAAAAACACACACAAGAACTTTAGACAGGAAAAGAAGGGACCTTGCTGGAGCCAGGCTGTGGCTGGCTGGCGGTGCGGCCACAGGATGCCTCAAATTGCTCTCATTAAGCTGCAAGTGTGTGGAATTCCAGATCTGGTGTGGGAAAGGCATTTTAGGGTGGCATATGTAATGTGTGAAAATTGGGTTGTGTAAAAGTTAAATATGTGAAAGTTAAGAACCATCTGTGTCCACATTCCACTTGGCTTTCCCCAGGGCTGGACAATATAAATCTTCCATCCTAAACTCAGGGTCACCATAACAATGACTAATGTCTGTATACAACTTCACCACTTAGTAGTTTACAGAACACTCTTACTAATTCTTCTACTTAATCCTTACCTTGGAAGGCTACTACATCCGTAGTTTACTCCTGAGCAAAGAGAGGGAACAGAAATTTGAGTCTGTAAACTTACAGAAAATAGAGGTTTTTCAGAAAGGCAAATTTGCAAACTATTTTCCAAAAGATGATTCACAGATTGTTAATACTTTAGGATAAATCTGAGTATGCATTATAATTTCCTGGGATCTTGTAAACTTTTACACACACACACCTACTCTAATCTTCCATTTCTGATCTAGTAGGAGCCCAATAACTTGAATTTCTAATAACTTCTTAAGTAACTGCTGGTGAGGTTCTAAGATCCACATATCAAGAACTGTTAGCATAGGAGTCTCTCTGGAGAAAGAGCAAGTTAAATTGCAATGTGCTTTCTGTGAAACAGAAAACAATAGCTTTGGTTCTATAGAGAAGAGGATAGGTGATGTGAAAATAATTACACTAGAATAATAGAATAGGGTATAACTTCAGTCTGGAAAACAGTTTTAATGCTGTAAGTTCATCTTCTACACAAATGGAGACACCTATGGTGTACTAGAGATAACAAAGATAAAAGATAGTGTGTAAGACACAATGAAATATTCTCAGGGGTCTGGCAAATGTTTGTGATGTCCAGTCTATCAACCACAGGTCTTAAGGTAGAGCTGCTTTTGAGGGGTTGGGAGGAGAGAGAGCAGAACTGGGTGGAACTCCCTCAGAATTGTTTCATTGACAGTCTCTGGATTTGGGGCTTAGGGATAATTTTTAGTTCCTTCTTTTTATTTCTATAGTGAGTACATCTTATTTATACAGCAAGTAAATAAATCTGTCTTTAAAAGGTTCTCAGAGACTTTTAGAACCTCCATTTAAAGGGGAAAATACGATTTTTAAGGCCACTGTTAAAATTCTATCCCCTTTGTTTAAGCAATCTCTCTGATACAGTTACACATTTCTTGTAACATAATTCATATAAATGGCAATTTGGGAGTATTTACTAGTGCAAAAGGGGGTATTATACTAGTCAATCAACTAGTGTCGAATTACCACATTTCATTGCATAGAGGCTGTTATTAAGGCAGGTCTAAACTAACCCCATCCCTCTCCCCACTCCTCATAATAATCTAGTTTCATCTGTCTTCTTACTACTCTGATGAATTTTGTTTCACTGTGTCTGAATACTTCCCTGAAGATACAGGCCAGCCTCTGATATTCGTATACAATTAATGTTTCATTTCAGAAAAAGAACTCTAAGCTGGTGCATGCTGTGGTATGTTGCCTACAACTTGTGTCTGTAGCATAGGTTCATACTCCACGGGTCTCAGTGTAGGGAAAATTTTCTCCCTAGAGGAAGAATGAATCAATGGTTGAAACATTAGCTGCATTTAAATAAACATTTCCCAGACAGACTAAATATAGTTGTTGTTGTTTTTTCTGTAGATAGCTTAACTCAAACTGTTTAAAATCATTCTTATTTTATAATATATTCATAAACATACCCTTTGAAAATTAAGCTAATACTGTATATTTTGTGTACATAAATACCCAGTTCTGTGAGGTCAATGAAAGTCTCCTATCATTAAAAAAAAGGCTATATCTAGACTTTTAGAGATAAAATCTGTACACATGAATCAGTAAGAAACAAATGACAGACATTGTAGATGAGTGGTTCCATGGAGTTAGTTCATTACAAACTACACGAGGAGAGAAGCCATCTTCAAATTCATGTGTAAATATTTTGGTATGTGTGTTCACACCTATGTATGCCTGCATGTACATAACTGTGTGCATGTGTGGAGAGGTCAGAGGTCACCCTAAGGTTGTGTTCCTTGGAGCCTTCAACTTTGTTTTTTTTTTTTTTTTAATCTCTTATTGGTCTAGAGCTTGCCCACTACCCACCAGCCCCGCAGATCTTCCTGTCTCTGCTTCCCCATTGCTGGGTGTATAGTCTAAACTCTTTAAATACTACAGTGACAGATTTTTGGTAGCTCAGAATGCTTGACAGTATAGTGATCCCAACCAAGGTTGCAAAGTTTATTAAACTGAAATGAATCTTGGTTCTGAGAAGTTTGCTTTAAGGACCACACCCCCTCGCCCTTCAGCATGACCTCTCACTCTGCTTCTTCATTTTGCAGCTACAAGCCTTTAGTATACTAATGATCTTGGAAATAGACCAAGGTGAAGTATATGGCAGGTAGGATGCTTTGGGCCATAAGTAAGGCTCACATGTACCACCTGGAAGGGTAACTTCACGTGTTACTGGATAAGAAGTTCTGAGTGAGGGTGAGTGGATACAGCAGGTTCAAGCGCCTGTACCCAAGAACCAGGATTTTCTAATCCGACCAATCTCTCT